GTGATTGATGAACCTCAAGATGCAGTTCTCTCTCTCTTTTCTTCATTCCCTTGCTACACAACTCTGTGGGCCCCACACTGGTGACTCTGAGGGCTCCCAGTGACGCCTGAGAGTACCACGCCGGTCTCCTGGATCCCACAGGGCTCCTGAAGGCCTCTGCTGGCCCTTGCTGGTCTCTTGAAGACCCCTTGCCCCCATGCATGTGTCTCTGAGGAGTGAGGACTCCCACAACGATGCCTTTGAAAGTCTTCACCGGCGACTGAGAGGGCACCACACAGACATGTCTGAGGGCAGGGACGTAGCCAAGGGGGGGGGGGGCGGAGGGGGCGCCCGCCCCTCCCTTGGGGTTTTCAGGAGGCCCCCCGAAAGGATTCAGGCCAACGTGGGCCGAAGGCCCACGTTGGCCTGAATCCTTTCGGCCTGAATCCAACGTGGGCCGAAGGCCCACGTTGGCCAAAATCACGTCGGAGGCGAACGAAATTCACGCGGGAATCTAAAAAATGACGTCAGAACAATCAGGGCCCTCTGACCAGCCTGACAAGTGACAGCTAGGGTCCTTCTCATCTCCTGTGAATAACCACTAGTGTCTGTGTCTGACCGCTAGGGCCCCTCTGACTCCTCAGTAGAGGAGGCCCTCTGTGGATAGGAGGCCCTCTGTTGAGAGGAGGCCCCCTTAGAGAGGAGACCCCCCCTGTAGAGAGGAGGCCCTCTGCAAAAAGGAGGCCCTCTGCAAAAAGGAGGCCCTCTGTAAAAAAGAGGTCCTCTGTAAAAAGGAGGCCCTCTGTAGAGAGCAGGCCCTCTGTAAAGAGGAAACCGTCTGAAATCAGAGGGCCCTTTGAAGAGAGAAGGCCCTCTGTAGAGAGGAAATCGTCTGAAGAGAGGGGACCCTCTGTAGAGGAGGACTCCCTCAGTAGAAAGGAGGTCCTCTGTAGGTAGGAGGCCCTCTGTAGAGTGAAGGCCCTCTAAAGAGAGGAGGCCCTTTGCAGAGATGAGGTCCTCTGTATAGAGGAGGTCCTGTGTAGAGACGAGACTCTTTGAAGAGAGGAGGCCCTATATAGATAGGAAGCCCTCTGAAGAGAGGAGGTCCCTGTAGAGACTAGAGAGGAGGCCCTCTGTAAAGGAGGCCCTCTGGAGAGAAAGACACCCTCAGCAGAGAGGAGGCCCTCTGTAGATAAGAGGCAATCTGTAGAGAGGAAGCCCTCTGTAGATAAGAGGCCCTCTTGGGCAGGAGGCCCCCGGTAGTCAAAGACAGCGTCGTATATTAAGTACATAGAGTGGAGGCCCACTGTAAGCAAATTACCTTCTGGCTTCTGGTCCCTGCTACTCTCTGTAGAGAGTTCTCAGTGTTCACTATAGTGAGAACTGAGAACTCAGGAAACTGTACAGAATAGACTCCCAACCGCGTCGCCGCCCACTGTAGGAAGGGACAGGGGCTCTGTAAGGAGGAGGTCCTCTGTAAACAGAAGGCCCTATCCTATGTAGACAAATTAGTTGTATAAATGCGCTCAGACAAATCATGCCGGGTGCCGTCAACGGTTTTGCCGTCAACGGTTTTACCTGGTGTTTTAGAGCGATGAAAACACAACTAAGGTGTTTTTATCGCTCTAGCATGCCTCTATCAAAAGTTATTCGCGAAAAACAGTCAGATACCATTGGTGACCTGAGATGACCTCAGGGTTATAAAAAGGGGTCACGGGTGCCATTTTCATGTTCAGTGTGTCAAAGATACTAGTAATTCAGTGTTTTAGTGTTTATAAATTATAATGACCTCCGTCTAAAAGAGTTCCGTCTCTCTCCCCGGCGATTTTCAATTTTAGGTCGCAAAATTGACCTGACCTTATGTCATCGATATCAAAATTCTAAGACATACATTTTGTGCATTTTGTCGCTCTTGTGCATTTGCATCTCTGAAAGTTCCAAAGCGTTTGGTCACTCCGTGTAGCTTTGGCAGACATTGAAACTTTTTATGTAGTGAGGTCATTTGACCTGACCTGGTGACCTGGCCTTAAGTGACCAGGGTCTGAAATTTTCACAACACATGTACAAATGATGTAGGATAAAGTGTGCCGCGCCGCCGTTTTTGAGATATTCACGGAAAACTGCAGGGGGTGTTTAAACACCCCCGGCAGGGCGCGGGTTAAAGGGACCCTCCCACCTTCAAAAAAGTTAATGAATTGGCATGAAAGTGATGTCGCTCGGTTCAGAAAGAGCAAAAACGAATATCTACCAAATTTCATCGAAAAATATTCACCGGTTTTCAAGATATTAGACTTTTACTTTTGTTTACTTTTTGGGATCTCCGCTGTTCCTAGCGACTTTATTTGAAAGTGCGGCATTTGTTGCGCGCAAAGCAGCGTATACCACCGCGTGCTACAAAACGTTTTAGTCAAACATTTAAAAATCGTTAGATATCTGCGATGACGTCACACATTCAGAGGGGTATTCCTATGCATTAGCCCCTCTGAATCAAAATGCTGCAATTTTGAAATTCAATATTTCCGATTTAAGGCATTTCTCGGTGTTGTGAGTGCCGAAACCGGTAATTGTGAGCCAGGGACCCCATTTTGGCTATCTCAACTCAAATCTAATGTTAAGGTGGGAGGGTCCCTTTAATCCATGAACATAGCTCAGCCCACTTCTGTAATATATGCCTGTGGCTGTGTTGGTATTTTTACGATGGATGCAATAACCCAAACCATTTATCAGATCGTGGTGATATTTCCATAGCCATGCTTCGCACAACTCATAATAATTTATTTGACCGGGACATTAATATATAGGTATCCATCGATTGTTTGTTTCATCTACGGCGTAAATGAAGCAAACCACCTGGACCTAGGAAAATTTACTAACGAAACCATGTTTTACCTACAGCAAGTAAACGTGACATGCATCATTCACACAGAAAGAATTGATAACCGTATAGTTTCAATCTTGCAGACGTCAGTCAGGTCAGAATCGTGACAAGCCTATTGGAAAATATAATGAACTGTGTCCTGCTTCGAGAAAACGAGTCAAAACCACCCAATTCTTTCTGAATTACGTCAGATTATCTGATCTGTAAGCACCCAGGTAGCATTTACTGACAGGGGCACCGGGAAGGATCATCTGAGGTGAGGTGAGGTCATCAACAGTTTTTAGCCGATAAATCACGTCATGATGGGGCTAAATAGTTGTTAGTGTACCAAACTGTTCGCCTGGTCATGAGCATGACGCGTTGATTGGTACCCAGCGTGACCTTCCTAGGTCAGATTTTGAAGTTGACCTATCTATGTATAGGTCATTATAAACCATGTTATTTGTTATGACCTCTGGCGACCTCAATATTGACCTGACCCAAAAAAGTTGTTTACAAAAGTTGTAAGTCGTTCAACGAACTATCAAACGCCGTTGCCGTTTGTCGCTACGATTCGTGCTTTTCGAGTTCTGACGGGGGGCAAAAAGGCCCCCGCCTGATTCAGAGTCTTTCAGAGCCCGCCCGGAATACGGTTAAGCGCCATGATAATACACCAAGTGTTACTCTGACCGTCATCCAGTATCCACCCATTCCTCGCAGATCCTCCCCCTCTTGCTGCGGTCCGGCCGCCACCGCCGCCGCCGCCGGCGCCCGAGATTTTTTTTTTTGCCAGTTACCATGCCACTCGGTGACTTGTGATATGCGTATGTTTCTTACCGCTGCAGCGGTAAGAAACATACCAGTGCGCTGGCCATATGAAAGCTGAACGAAAGTGAATGCATTATGTTGTATGTAATTATGTAGGCATGAGACCCTCTGTAGAAAGGAGGCCCCTTTAGGGAGGAGGCCCTTTGTAGAAAGGAGGCCCCCCGGGATTCCTCCGCCCCTCCCTTGGCCAAATCCTAGCTACGTGCCTGTCTGAGGGCCCTACACCGCCACCTCTGACACACCAGTGTCTCCTGAGGTCCCACATCGGCGACTCTGAGGGTCCCACACCGGCGCCCCTGGGGCCCCACACCAGTGTCTCTGGCAGTCAGCCACCGGTAACTCTGTATGTTCTACACCGGTGACTCTGAGGGCCCCACCGGCGTCTGAGAGTACCATGCCAATCTCTAAGGACTCCACAGGGCTCCTGAAGATACTGCCGGCCCTCACTTGCCGGCCTGTGAAGGCCCATTGTTGGCATCATACGGCCCGTTACCGGCCTCTGAGGGCCCTTTGTCGGTCTCTGAGAGGTCCTACTGGGTTATTAAGCATTCGCATTTCGCACCAACCACTCCAAGGGGCCAAGGGCCCCACACACAGCCATCTGTGAATGGTGTGGGCTTAGCGCCACACCAGTGTCTGAGGCACCACAACGGCGTCCATGTGAGGGCCTCACACCAGCACCTTAGAAGGCCCACACCGGCTCCTTTGTGGTTCCTGCACCAGTGCCTCTGAGGGCCCCACACCACTGCCTCTGGGGAACCCACACCGATACCTTTGATGGTCCCACGCCAGTACCTCTTAAGGTTCCACACCGGCGGCCCTGGGTCGGCTCTATACACCAGTCATTCTGAGGGCCCCACCGGCCCCACCAAATTTCGTCGATTTCTGGCGCTGCCCGGGTGTTTGTCCCAAAAGCCTCCTCCTCCTGGATCTGCCAATGGGGGTCAGGTGTCCTACCATTTCTGTTTTTTTTTTTAAGAAAAAACAGAAATGGTAGGACACCTGACCCCCATTTTTTTTTAAGAAAAAAAAACTCGTGTCAGGGCTATGACGAAAAATAAGTGGCCTAGATCCAATGAGAAAACAGGATTTGGGGGTACCCTAGGTTTGGCTCCGTGACCTGGTGTGCCCCCCCGCGCTGACACCCTGGATCCGCCAGTGAACTAAACAAACCAGCAAACGGTGTTCACCAACTGTTCATCAACAAATGTGCAAACACCAAACCATGCTTTTTTAGATGCGTGTGCAAGAGAAAGGAGCAATCGTTGAGCATAACCATTGTTATAAAAAGCACCAGCTTTCAGTCTTCAGTATTGTTCGCCATAACCAAGAGGAGTGATAAGCGAGTTGTGACCATGTATTGGTAGACACACACTGCGAGTATCGTGTGATAATTGAATCAATGGGTGATACACACGCCTGATTCGAAAACGCGCGCGTCTTCTCCATGGCGGAGCCCGGACAATGCCGATGTACGTGACGCACAACAACCAGGCCGTCGGCAGGGGCGCGACCCCAGCACACCAATGACAAGCGATATCACAATGTTCATCACTGCACGCCTCTGCACACGTCCCCCTGGCACACAGTGCATGGTTATTGACTGCACCACTGACGCAACACGGCAACAATCGCTCAGCCCATGCCCAGCGATGCCTTTAGGCACTCGAACAGTGCTCTCATCGCGCTCGAGCCGTGTTCTCATCGCGTCCCAGTCACCTTGGCCACTGTCGCCGTGCCCACTATGAGCCTCCAGCAGCGGCCGGCAGCAGCCGCCCTCTCCGAGTGTTCAGCGCCTCGAGACGACTGACTGAGCCGCCGTCTGCGGCTGCGCTCCGGAGGCACCACTCCGGGCGGCGGGCACCGACACACACACCGTCCGGCCGCCTCTGGGCCGCCGCGCACCGGCCGCTAGCTGTCCGAGTCCACCCGGGCCACCTTGTACGAGGGCACGTCGTCATCGTCCTCTAGCATTTCGCGCATCCGTCGCTTGTAGGCCTGCCGATTAAAGCACACATCACCGTTATTCTGAGCCGGGGCCGTCACTCAGTAACCTTTTTTTTGGGGGGGGGGGGGTGCCGATTGGATGAAACCAGCAGGAAGTAGTCTGGGGGACGGACGGTGTTGCGGACAATTATACAATCTACTGACAGCATACAAGATGACACGGTTGCAGTTCGCGGGTTACAGATGAGGTGTGACAGCCAGACTGGTGTTTGATTCGCCCGTGATTGAATCAATTGGATTGAATCAAACAAAATTTGTTGAATCAAAATGATTTGATTCACCGTCAGGATTGTTCGATTCACAAGCTATGATTGAATTAAACGAGTTAGGAATCAGGGTTGATTGAATCAAACGAATTACCGATTCATGAACTTCAAAAAATGAAGTGTACATAGTTAATTATCAACAAATGTTAACACTACCATCATGTGATGATAATTACATGACAACAATAAGAACACAATTACAATAATATCCCTGATATTGATTGACATTTTTTTTAAATCGAATCGAAAAAAAGAATCGATCAATAACTTTTTGGCTAAATCAAACGTGAATCATTCCTTTTTTTTGTTTTTATTCTCTGATTCAAAAGGAAACGATTCATCAATTTTTTTGAATGAATCGAACGGTGATTGAATCAGAAAAAAATCCAATGAATCAATGATTGAATCGATCCAAAAAAGGTGAATCAATAACCAGTCTGGTGACAGCGACATAATTGAAAGCAGAATAAATGGATTGCTTGGCTATGTAAACACAAAACCGTCCGCGTTGCTTAGCTTTGAAAGCTTTGACTGACCAGACATGTGCATGGATCCGAGAAAATGGATCTGGGATCTGATCCCACGGATCCTGATCTCGGATCCATCAGGATCATAGATCCAGCTCTAATTTTTTTTTCTCGAGAAATCCGTAAGGATCATAGATCCGAGTCTAAAATTTTGGTTTGAGATCCAATGAGATCATAGATCCTCATTTATTTTTTGTCAACACAGAAATCCCAAAAATCACTTTGCAGCTCACAAATGTTCTTATTTGTGATTGCATCTGATAGCACGTCATAACTCATAGTTTTATGGCACTTATTGACATAGAAACACTTGGATTCCTGGTTTCAAATGTTGCGCATGGTGGGATCCACTCAGATCATAGATCCATGTTCTTGGTTCATCGTCAGGTCCTGTGAGATCATAGATCCAGGATAAATTTTTCACGCCGGATCCGGTGGGATCATAGATCCAAACCTGCAGTTTGCTTCGAGATCCACTAAGATCATAGATCCATCACTCGGATCCATGCTCATGGCTTTGACCCGCGCACCGACGGGGGGGGGGTCGGTTATCCACCCACTGAGGTTTTTCGTGAATAGCGGGAAAACCGCGGCGCGTAGCGCCGCGAAATTTGGTATGACTATAACCTCATCAATTTTACACATGGTGTGCAAGTTTGAACCTCCTACCTTTCAAGGTCAGGTCACCAGGTCACTTTGAATGACCCAACCTCAAGTCACTTTTTTGCAACTTTGTCACCGTACCAGAGCTACAGTAGATGTCGGAGACCTTTGAAAGTCGCAGGATGTTATTAGGTCATTAGTAGCTACAATTTGTATATCTCGGAATTTTGATATCGGTGACCTAAGGTCAGGTCAATTTCGCAACCTCCCCATTATAAGTCAATGGGGGAAAAGTCAACTCCCTGTTTTTCTACTAAAACGCGTCGGAATGGCCCCATATACCATACATGACTTCATATACGATCAACCTTCACTACCTTGAGGCCTGTTTTGCTGTTGGGCAGCTATAGGTCATGTGACGTCATCAAAGGTCACCAACGGGTTTTTACCAATAACTCTTTACAGGAACGATATAAAGACACGCGGACGGTCTCACTGTGTTCAGCTCGTCAAGGCGCATCGAATGATAAAAATGATGACCTCGAGGTCACGTGACCTGAGGTCAACCTTTGACCTTGACCTTTCGAGGTCAATAAATATATATTCGATGCGGATTGACGACAGGATCACGATGATGCCCTTCGTTTGTTCCTAGCTTGACTAATTCGAAAGTTATTCGAGAAAAAACTCCATATCTAGCGCCACCATTTTGACTTTTTGACCCCTGTTACATCATCTTTGACCTGACCTGAAAATGACCTTAGTAAAAATTGTAGACCTTGTCCGTGCGTGTCCCATGCCGTTTACTGCTTGTCATATTCTTGCTTCGTTCTCGAGATCTCAGGGGGGGGGGCGGTCATCCGCCCCCCCCGTCGGTTGTAACAGTTGGCGCAGACCCCCGTCGGTGCGCGGGTTATGTTTCCCTGTGTTATATAATAAAATAAATAAGTGCCTTTCGACACATAGTGCGAGCAAGCAAAAGCGAGTTTCATTTTTTTTTTTTGCGGACACAAGCCGCAGCGGCCAGCCACACGGCGGACGGGCGCGGCTCGAAAGTTACCGACCCCTGTTCCAACCGATAAAACAATTATCCACTGGCAGAGCGAAGAGGCATGGGAATGGGTTATTGATCATCTCGCAGGGACTGAAATTCACCGATGTCTGGTTTCTCCTAGCGTAAGAAGACAACGGAACTGATTTTTTTTTTCTGTGAGAAGTCTGCTTTAAAATGCCACATGGAAAGCTCAATTTAAGTTTTTATTATTCAAGTTCTTTTTTTTTTCTTCTGCAGAGTAAGCCCCCCAGGGTCAATCAGCACCTTTGAATATCGACGATCCTAGTATGCAATTTAATCGTGCAAATTGTTAATGATGTAAACAATAAAGCCGGTCTCGTAGTTCAGTAGGTAGAGCGGTGGAATCCGCGTGGTGAGAGCACGCGTCCCGGTTACAACAGTCCGGGTTTCGTGGCGCGACGGGCGCTCGATATTTATGAGCCTCGACAGGTAGGTATGGTTGCGGTTGGTGGCTGGCCGTAGCCAGTCCAAGTTAGTGAGGCCGTGCGCTGCTTTGTGCGTGTGTTAAACTTCAGGCTCTAAATTCTTCCATACTGGGGTGGAATAAGTTTTGTCCTCTCAAAAGATGTGCTCCCTAGTCTCTAGGTTGCCATACAAGAGGCAGCAGTTCCTTTTATCGTCCAGCATATTCCCCACGAACAGGGAGTTATGCACGACCACAATTGAGACCATGTTTGGCCGGAATCGCGATTCGACGTACAGGGTGTCCCATAAGTTCCTTCTCACCTATTTTTTTAGAGGCTCTCTTATTTAAAGCCACGCTTAATTTATTTTGTAACTGAGCTTTTGGAGTTGCCATGGCAACTGTGAATATGCTCCACGGTAACTAATCCGTCTAGACAAAATATTTTTTGCTAGAGAGTTCACTTCATGTGGAGACGGCTTACGCCGCAACAATCAACATAGAGGTCTCCGATACGGGTACGTCTCGGTATTTAGTCCGCACGTGGGCCATTTGCGACGGTTGAGGGTGATTGAGGCCATCCAGTCTGTAGCCAATGTCTGTCGCTAACTGGACGCACAGTCAGCAAGTTGACGCCGATGATTTGTCGGGAGTCAATCGCTGCAAGTTTATGCTCTTTTTTTGTCAGCTCTCAGGAGTGAGCCATGCGGCCAAAACTGTGTGGCGCCAAAGTGGCCGTCAAAAAGGTCTTAGCGCTAGAAAGCTGGCAAGCAGGCTTTTCAGGATGGATTACCAGCTGTCTAAGAGTATTATTTCGGGGTACATGACTCACGGTCACTTGGGCTTAAACTTAACGGAGGACGCAAAACAGTCGAAAATGTCTTAAAATGGCCAAACATTAGTTTCGTTATGCCTGAGGCTAGAAAAAAAACTGGAGGGCCGATGACATCAATGTGGTCATCTGGACTACCTAGCCCGTGTTCGAGATAAAATACCCGTCCAAACCCCAAAACGGTCCCATATGGGTGACGGACAAGGCCTTCGTGTCATCCCACTTTATTCCTAAGCAAAAGGCCATGGTCACGGTAATGTGGGGTAATATGCGTCCAGACGCTGAGCAGGTTGCAATTGATACTCCAGAAACAGTGTTGGGACGCAGAATGCTTCTCCAAGAAGATTTAGGAGTTTCAGCCTTCTAGCTTAACTCGAACTGCAAGTATGAACACAGTTTTTTAGGAGAAAATGGCATCCGGGAGGTCGTGGGCCCATCTTCAAGCCAGACAGTGCATCAGTGCAGAGGTCAAGCAAAGCTTAAAAGCAGTGCCAGGAGACTGTGATAAGCTTCTGTGGCAAGATCACATCCCAGGCAACTCATCAGATCCAAATTTCATAAAAATGTGTTAGAAATATTGAAATCGAGGTTCATCGAAGCGAAGCGCTGTTCCAGCCTCGAGGAGCTAGCCTAGGAGGAGCTCACGGCGCATGTCAAGTCAGTCTGGGCTTACTTCAAGCCTGCTATGCTGCCAAACATGCCGGTTGGCATGCCGCAGCATGCATTAATGTGTTTGCCTATGAAATGGGGAGCACATTGAGGGGTCATAAACATATCAAAAAGCAATGTACTCTGTTTTACATGCAAATATAAGGTGAGATGAGAACGAACTTATGGGGGACACCCTGTATGTCGGCTCGCATTAGCCGCGCGTTTTGCAATCTTTTCGTGGTTTCAAGCGTTCAAACATGTGATTTGATGTTGCTCCCATGCATTAGGGTGGATGTCAGGGTCACCTGAAGGTCAGGTCAGGTCACTGACCTCTGATGGCCTCGGTCCATTTTTTCGAGTTACTCATGTTTCTAGGCTAGTTTTTGGAGCTGAATTCGAATCTATCAACCATTGAACATTCGAATCTATCAACCATTGAACATTTACGAAGAAGTTTTGGTGCCTTCGTAATATGTTACGAAGCGGTGCCTTCGTAATATGTTACGAAGCTGTCAGAGGCGGTTGGCACCTACTACAAATACCCGGCAGGACCCCTACTAGTTGACCTGACCTGACCTGACCCGAACTGGCCTAAGTACAAAAAGACATCATCTGTGCTCAAAACAAAACTAACATGATATTCGTGATCCCCGAAAAACCCCATAGCAGCCACGCTTTACGACGTTCTAACAGGTCCCGATTTTCCCGACTTTTGGGTCATTGACCTGACCTGGAAGGTCAACCGATGACCTAATACTTTAACCCTCCATCGTATAGGGGGGAGGCCAGGGGTCGAACGGACCCCAGATATCTTGGAATTTAGATATCGGTGACCTAAGGTCAGGTGAGCGCCGATGACTACTGTAGTCCGGGCGCCCAAAAACCCCAATTCATCGACCTAGGGTCAGGTCAATTTTTCGCACTCTCCATTGCAAGTCAATGGGAGAAAATTGAAAGGCGCCTCTTTTGGACGAACATCAATCTGAACACTTTCAAACACGGAATGAGAAGTAAATATGACACACTGAACCAGAAAATGGCACCCGTTACCCCGTTATGTTCCTGAAGTCATCTCAGTTCACCAATGGTATCCAACAGTTTTTTTTGCAAATAACTTCTAATAGATGCATGCCAGAGCGATGGAAACGTCTTAGATGTGTTCGGCTTGACGATAGGGATAGACTAATATGCAATATGACCTTTCCGACTCATGGCTTTGGCCTGGGGTCAAATTTTTAAGTTGATCTTTCAAGATCAAACTACAGTTCATTCGATGCGTTTTGACGAGAGGAGCACGACGCTTGCAAAATAACTGTCGTGCCTTCCTTGAGTAAAAAATATCATTGAAAAACATCTTTGGTAAAAACGGCTATTTCTGTTTTTTTTTTGTCATCTAGCGGCTAAACCGTAAGTCCTAGGCCAAATCTGAGGACGAGGACACAATCCGGAAAGAGGGTTGAAAGGGCTATCGAATGCGCTTCTCCGCCGCGCTGTAGCTCCATCGGTTCCCGAGTTATGTGCCGCTGTTTCGAAAGACGGAATAGGCAACATTTTACCTTTGGTGACCTCTAGTAACCTGACCTTTGACCTGACCTAAAAATGAGTGGGTGTCTTCGACCTTATTTTGGAGTTCTTTTGAATGGCGCTTACCGCGCGTCGCTACGTGGCCCAGGCGCCGAGGTAGAAGGGGGTGTTCAAACACCCCCTTCTTCAGCAGGGGGTGGAAACCCAGGACCTCCAGCGGGGCACGGGTTAAAGATCCAGAAATGTGCCCAGCTCCGCGGTGATGACGTCAGTTATTAAATAACAGTGCAGTGAATGTCGACGGCGGACGTACCTGGCTCTCGGGGTTGTTCTCCTGATTGCGGCACTTGTCCAGTTTCCGCTCGAGCTGTTTGACGACGTCTCGCTGCGGCTGCTCGACCGTCTTGACCAGCAGGCGGATCTTTCGGACGGCCTCGACCAGCGCCTGCAGCTGCGGCCGCGCCGCCGACGCCAACAGCTCCGACGTCACGTACGCGTCCAGGTTCTCCTGCACGCGACTGACCGCGTACAGAATCGCCGCCAGCGCGACCTGCGACGGCGCAAACAGCAGCACCGCGTCCGTGAAGAAGACGGCCTCGAGAAACTCGTCGATGATGGGTCTCAGTCGGTCGGGGTTCTGCAGGCTGGGACAGCGCGTCTTGATGTCGATGAGCAGGCCCTCCACCGGCCGGAAGGGAGTGTGCACGGTCAGGTGGTAGTGCACGCCGTGCATCACCGTCAGCTCGTTGTTGAGGATGATGTCTGTCGCCTTCTCCTTGTCACCCTTAACATTGGCAACAAACTGACCGATGGACACGTTAAACTCTTCAACCTTGCACGAAAGGTAAACACAGGTTACCAATATACCCTTTGGGTGAAAGTCCATCACAGAGTTGTGCATGTAGAAACGCTTGAAGTAGTGGCTTGCTGTACCAGAGACTGCTTTCGGCATAGGAGGCTGAAAGGCCTTGCAAAAGTCGCGCAAATGACACTCATAATACTGTGCGACTATTTTCTCTTCAGAGGGTGTGAGAAAAAACTCTGCACGTTTTTCCTCAGACATTTCGGCGCCGTGCTTATCAATGAAGCGCCGGTTGGTTTCTCTGCGTCGATTGGCAATATCTTCTTCATCCTTAAACATCCAGTGTTTTTTCTGTGTGCTTGTCGGAAACATTTTTCTTTTGCTGAAAGCAGAACACATTTAAATAAACTGAAGTTTGAACAATGACCACACTTTGTAGTTTGCTTCTTTGTACCTACTTCACACAGGGGTGTCGTTTTCCGAAAATGATTGGTAGTGCCCAAAGGCGGCGGCTGGCCATATATGACGGGGCTTACAAGGTAGGGTACCCCCAAATCTGCCTTTCTCATCGGATTTCGGCCACTTATTTTTCGCCCTGGTCATTGACAAGACTAACCGAAATCTAAAAAAACACAAAAAAAAAACTTTGGAAATCTGGGTCCACACCGGACGCCATGCACAAAACGTGCAGTTATATAGGCAATAGTGTCGGAGGAATGCACGCCATTCTGAAAGAGGCCCACATCGACTTAAAAGGACGGCTGTGCTGAAAGGGGACAGGAACAGCTTTGAGGGCCCAAGCCGACTAAAAAAGACGGCTGCGGGGCCAGGAACGGTTTTGAAGACCCACGCCAATTGAAGGGTTCGACAACTAACGAGGACTGGAAACACAACGATAGTTAGAAAGACCTGCTTGCCAAAATAAAAGGATGACAGTACGAGGGGCGTTCAGAAAGCTACGGGCCCGACCATGAAGGAGCAGAGAGATACAGCATCGACTCATTAGACCAAAAAGTTCATTTATTCAAATAAACACCGTTAAGACAAACACATTTCGCGCAGCGCTTCGCGAGAGCCCTCAAAAAGCCTCCATAACCAAGTGGGTTTTGGACCCATCCTGCACGTCCAAGACGGCTGATTTCGTCTCCCTGCTGTTAGCGAGGTTGCCGCTGCTAATTTTCTTATGTTGGGGAAGAGGTGGCAACCACTAACCAGAGTGTGCAAGGTTCGGAGAGAAAAAAGTGGATGCGACAACAACTCGAAGCTCATCGCTTCACTGTTCGTCATCCCGCCCATGTACGCAGGTGCGTGGTCGCGGATCAGGTGCACACTTTACGTCAGCTTCCCTATAGCCTCCCCTCGATGTTTATCGAATGGACGCACATCATCAATTGTGTGCCCCTGTTTTGGAAAGTTGACGAGCGGAGGGGGGTCGCATCGACCCCTCCCCCTGCCAGGCCGTGTTATGAAAAATGCCCAGGGCGAGGGTTAACGCTTGGTGCCTTTTCTGCACTAACTACTATGAAACGAATCACTGCTCTCTTCTGGGCGTCGCCCATCCTATCCGAAATGGCGAACTATGCTACGAATAGAAGCCCGAATCAATCACAGAAGAGACTTAATTAATGGCCACTTACTTAATTTGCGTAAGTGGACATCCCAATAACACATCATTTAACACACCGCCTTGCAGGCCAAAATTCCAACTCCTTCATTGTTCGGCCCGAAACTTTTTGAACGCCCCTCGTAGTTACGAGCTTCAGTTTTCGGGGTCTGATGCGGTAATGACCTGGCGTTGAACCCTGGGGAATCAGGCTGCATCACCCACTCAAATCAATATACCTATGGCCTATTCTGGAGCACCGCGGCACCTTCCGAAGTCGGTGTAGGGCCTCCAGCGGCTGGTGTGGAGACGGATCGGGGTCTATTAGGGGCGGTCGCGTGGTATGCGGGACTCAGAGGCAGTTATGGACCTCTATAACCAATTGCGTTTTCGAGCCTCTTAACCCTCGCCGGACCTATTGGTTTTCTACATACGCGCCGGCCGAGGGGGGGGGGGGGCGGGTACGACCCCCCCCCCTCGCCGTTTCGCCCCTGGTGGAGCTAGCGCGTCGCGGAAAAAACGAGCGTATGCGCCGTTACGAGACGCAGAGATTGGTACCCGATTTTAAGGTCCTAGGTCAACCGGTGACCTCTGAGGTCAGGTCAAGTGCCCCAGGGTACGGTTCAGTTTTTGGTGAATAACTTCGCAAAAAACGGCCGCAGAGCCGCGATTTTGGCAGCATCGTGTTCGCCTTGATCAGGCGCGTCGAATGATATACTTTTTGTCCGGGTCAGGTCAACTTGGGGTGTTGACCTCAGGTCAAGGTCAGGTCAGCACCCCCAGGTCACGAAGTTGGTCGAAAAAGGTCATGTCGCATATCATTCGATTCGGCAGGTCTTCCTGAGTCCATTGGTGGCTTTCCCGACTCGCTAGCTCAATTTGATCGGGAGTTATTGACGAAAAACTAATATGACCTTGATGACGTCATAAATGACGTCACGGAAGGTCAACATTGCAAAAGTGACGCATCTAACCTTGCAAGGAGTGCATCAAATCACGATTCTGTGTGCTTCAGATAGTTGGAGATCGTTCCCGGCGCCAGAATAGCAGTTTGAATTTTTCCCCATTGACTTATAATGGTGAGGTCACGAAAATGACCTGACCTCATATGACCTTTAGGAAAAATCCGAGATATACAAGTTGTGAGACTCATAATGGATACTAGATCCTGCAAGTTTCATTTCCCTGTGACATCTCCTCTGGCAGTGAGGGCGTTGCGAAGTTGCGACATCTGAAGACCGTGCAGAGGTTCACTTATGACGTCATAGGTCAGTGACCTGACCTGACCCAAAAATGCGGTTGGTGTCAAAAGATGCGGCTTGGATCAAAGGTCAGGTATGCCAAGTTTCAGCTCTCTATCGCCAGCGTGTTCGGAGCTATCGCGAAAAAACCCTATGGGGGGGGGGGGGCGGCACCCGCCCCCCCCCCTCGGCCGGCGAGGGTTAAAATCCATTAAGGACCGGAGTCCTAGACACGTGAAACCTCATTGTCAGCTACATGCACCTACTGTGGCTAGAACCTTATTTATGTACTTGCATATGTGCTTATTTAATATTTGCTTATCTGTTTATTTTGATTTTTTATCAACTGATAAGTGACAAAAGATTGGTAGGGCTCAGCGAACATTGGTAGGGCCCAAATAAACATTGGTAAGGCTCGGGCCCTACCAGGCCTATACAAAACGACGCCCCTGACTATTGTGAAACTTGGTAGGTAGGTAGGTAGGTAGGTACCACATAACTTGAAATTACTTGACGTAATGACATGATGTGGAAAGTGAAAATGATACCTAGGTATTGATGGAAATTTATGGACTTAGTACGCTACAAGAAGATTGAATTGGTCAACCAATTCAAATTCAATCTACTTGTGGAGTAAGTCTATAGATTTTCATCAATAGTTACCACTTACCATTGAAGTTACTTGCTATCATGTTGATTTTATACATAAGAACCTCGTTCATTTTATTTGTATGACATGTTTGAATGCAATTTTCTCAATAAGTGAAGAAAAATGTTGGTAGTGCTCAACAACACATTGGTAGTGCTCAGCTGAACATTGGTAGTGCTCGGGCACTCCCAGGCCTATACAAAACGACGCCCCTGACTTCACATCACAGTGATACACAGGTGGTTTAAACAAGGTGGTGCAAAGTAGGTTAACTCTTTTCATAAATGGTTATGACAAAACATTGTTTTTACCTGTGCCCCACTAGAACTGGGATTTCCACATCTTGCTATGGGTTTGAGTGAGAGACGTGTTTTAAGACCACCAATCTTACTCAGCTCCTTTGAAACCTTTTAAATAAAATAACCTTGCAGTCAGTGGCGTATCTAGGATTTCTCCCAGGGGGGGGGGGGGGGGAGTCCGCAGTCAAAAGGGCCCTTGACTGACTGGGTTGAAAGGGCCCTTGAAGCCTGAGTTGAAAGGGCGTTAACCCGCGCAGGGGGGAGGGGGGTCGATTATATCGCTTTTAAAACTTTCAGCAATCGATGAGGACAACAGTAACTCTGTTAAAATGCATACCTCGGAATTTTGATAGTGTTGAGCTAAGGTCAGGCCAGTTTTGAGAAATCTCCAATGGGAGAAAATTGAAAGGCGCCTCTCTTGCATGAACGTTGTTCTTAATACTCTTAAACACCCAGTTACATGAGCAACCATGTCACGATGAAGCAGAATATGGCACCTGTGATCTCCGTTTATGTCCCTGAGGTCATTTCAGGTCACAAAAGATCTGACGGTGTTTCGCTAATAACTTTTGATCAAGGCACGCTAGAGCGATGAAAACACCTTAGATGTGTTCAGTTCGACGATACAGATCGACTGATACCTATATAGCACGACCTTTTCCGGTCAGGTTATGACCTTCGTCAGAGGTTAAATTTTCAAGTTGACCTTTCTTGGTCAACTTACTGCTCATTTGACGGGACACGACAAGAGGAGCACGATGCCGGTAAAAGTTTGGCCGTGCAAGTTCTGAATCACACGTTATTGCAGCAAAAACTTTCCGCAAAAACAACGTCTTTTGGCAGTTCTTGCCTTCTTGCCTCCTGCAGGCTGAAGCGTTGACCCTGAGCACAGCTTACAGAAAGAGTGTCAAAAGAGCTGTTTGTTTTGTTGGGCTATGCCCTTTCGGTCTGACGAGACCATTTCAGGGCCGGAAAGGATGATAGTAATTGAGGGGAGACATGGGTCTGGGCGGACACCTTGGTGATTCACCGGGGCTGAGCCCGTCCAACAGGACAGGCCGACCAGCCCCCAAAGTCCCAATGCACCCAGCTACGGGTGTGCTCCCTTAGGAGCTGCGGTGCGGTCCAATGGGAGCCGCCCGCTTGGAATAAAGTTACCCGTCCAGCCCGGAACAGGGGTTGTGGCGTGGGGAGAAGCAGGAGGATTTGAATGACGTGAAGATGTGAACGACGAAACGTGTGTTAACCCGGCACCGCCTGGGCTATTTCCGTACCCACGACAGCCGGGGGGGGGGGGGGTCGGATCCGACCCCCCCCCCCCTGTTACCTCCAGAACCAATGGTCGTATCGAGCCCCGCGAGGCGGCGTTCGAAAGGTCTCTACGAGACCTTCCCAAAGCACTCTTAATGTTTTAAGATTGAGGTCAACTTTCGGGTCAAGATCAGGTCAAAGGTCAATTTCTGGGGTTTTGCATGATTAGGCTTACGGACAGCGGAATCGATAGCTGCTGCTCGAAACTCACCAAAAATGACCTCAAAGACCTAGTGAAGGTACAATGTGCGTATAGGGGTCATACTAAGCACGGGTCAA